TTTTTTTTTCCGGCGGGTGGGGAGGGGCGGAGTGCGCGGAGGGAAGGAGAGAGGGTGGGAAAAACCAGAGAAAATTTCCCACGCCCCGAATGATACAGGAGGGGAGGGAAGGGGGAGGGAAAGACCCTTTTCTTTTCACTACACGAACCGTGGAGACAGTATTTTCCGAGCGAGCGTCTGTTGCGAACGTAACCCACCGATGACACTACTCTTGCGGGGTTTATTTTTTTCTTCCTTTTTTAATTTTCCCTTTTTTTTTTTTTTGGTTTTCCCTGTTTTTCTTTTTTCTTTTGAAAGACAAAACTGTACAGCTTACAAAGCAGCTGCCTCTTAAAGAGGCAGTGTATTTCGCACTCCGCCTCTTCGGCCAGGGACAAAAAATATTTTAAAAATCATCATGGAAGACAACCGGCTGGACATCCCCCCCCCCCCCAAAAAAAGGATTGTGTTTTGGTTTTTAAATCCTCCTCCCCCTCCCAACCCGGTTTGCTGCAAAAATCCAGACTTTCCACGCAGGGAAAATAAAATAAAAAAGAGACTATTTTTTTCCCCAATTGCAAACTTCTCGAACAGCCCCAAAAAGAAAGGAAGAAAACTCGGAGTTTTTACACTGGCTCTTTAACGTGGCTTTGCTCTCTTCGGCGTTCACATGCATATTCTGGTCCTGTTTTTTGGTGTCCTTATAAACAAAACCCTGTTTTTAAATGTGCCAAGTTGTATATATCTTAAGCCTTTCCCTTTTTCCCCCTTTTCTTTTCTCTCTCGTGTGATTGTAAAGCAATATGGTAACTCACTCTCTCTCTTTCTCCATGTTCCTTCTGGATGGACCAAGTTTTTGTCCAACAACTGTACATTTTTCTCGTTGACTATATAATTCTTGTTTTGATCTTAGTTTGAAACGGACAACGGAGAGAAAAAAAAACACAAAACAAAACAAAAACCCAAGGCGCCATTCCATTCACAAACCTGAGGATTTTCAACGGTTTTAAAACAAAATCTGGGGGTTTTGGACGGGGAAAGAGAGAGGTGTGTTGTGTTTTTGTTTTTTTTTCTCAAGATCTGGGGGAATAAAACGAGAGGGAAAACTAAAACGACAGCCCTTGACGGCTCAAAAGAATAAAAAAATATTTTATTAAAAAAAAAAGACGGAAAAAAACCCACACAAAAGACAAAAAAGGAGAAACAACCGCTTGGAATATTTTCTTACTGTAGAGAGAAGCAATTGTATAGCCAAGAGTATGTGATACTCGAACGTTTTGTGTCGTGCGGGACGAACCACAAAATCGCATGTTTTAAAAAATGAGGGTGTTGGGGGAGGGGAGGAAACAAATGTTTTTGTTTTTCTGAGTTGCGCCGAGTTCGAAAATGGGAATTTTTTTTTTTTGTCTCGAAATGGTGTCAAACACTAAAAAAAAAAAGAGAGAGAGAGAGAGAGAGGTTTTTAAAAAAAGTCCTTTTTAAAGAGAAAATTAATAATGTTCGATGTTGCTGACGATGGAGCAGAGAATAATAATAATAATAATGTTGATCTTTTTTTAAAAAAAAATAAAAAATAAAAAAACGTGCCCGGATGTGAGACACTAAAAACTTTGCCGTTTTATTTTTTGTTTGTTTGTTCGTTTTAAAGAAAAGAGAGAAATCTTTCTTTTTGTCGAAAGAGTAAGTAAATAAATAAATAAATAAAAGCCGATGATTTTTAGACAATCAAATTCTAGAGAAGCGTGAAGAATTTGTGTTGGCTTTTTCTTTTCTTTTTTTTGCCCCCTCTTCCTCCTACCTTTTCCTTTTTTAAAAAAAAAAAAAAAGTTTTTTTCTCTTCCCTCCCCCCCCCTTTTTTTGGCTTTTTTTCTTAAAACTGGTTGTAGAGAATCGCTTGACTTTTTAACCAGGAAAAAATAAAAATCATAAAATAAATTGGGACAGCTGGGATTGGGAGGGGAGAGGGAAGGTTATTTTGTATGAAAACTTTTTTTAAAAAAAGGAGACCAGACTGAAACGCAACCCCGATCAAGCTGATAAAAAAAGAAAGAAAGCCCAGGAAAAAGTTTAAAAAGAAAAAGAAAGAAATAATAATAATGAATGAAAGAAAGAAAGAAAGAAAAAACGAAAGCACTACATTTGTGGCAAAGTGGAGATAACAAAACTTTTCGGTCTTCATGGGAGAGGCCGTGTGGTGACTGAGAAGAATTGCTGCTAATATATTTCCTTTTTACAAAAGCATATCTAAATAGACCATTGTTTTGATGTTAATCTTTGTAAATTATGTATTACCAATTTTAACATTGGATGTAATTGCATAAAAAAAAAAGAGCCTGCATCTCAAATATTGAGAGATTCTAGTATTAAATGGAAAAAAAAAACATGTTTCTTATTTTACAGTTTCAGTGTGTTTTCTTTCAGCTTTCAAATTTAGCTGCCCTTTGACCTCAGTTTCTTTTGGGGGGGGTTGCAACCTCATTGCCTTATGGTCGTGATGGCGAACCTCTGGCACACATGTCATAGGTGGCACGCAGAACTATTTGTGCCGGCACGCGAGCTGCAGGCAAAGTTACCTCCCTGGGCACGTGCGCCCCTCACCGCTGATTTTCGGCCATTTTGAGGCCTTTTTCAGCCTCCCAGAGGTTTGAGGAAGGCTTCTGCAGGCCGAAAACTGGCCCCATTTTGTCACTTTGCTGTTTTTCCAAAAATACCGGAAGTGACGAAACGGCCCTAATTTCCGGCCTGCAGAAGCCTTCCTCAAACCTCTGGGAGGCTGAAAAAAGGCCTCAAAATGGCCGAAAATCAGCTGTGAGGCTGAGTGTGCAGATAAAGGAGTGCAGATAAATTCATCTGGCTAGTGTCCTGTCTGTCTGTGAAAGAAATGAGGACTGTTTGGAAACTGAAAGTTTGCTGTGTGAGCAAGAAGGGGACAGCAAGGAGCCTGGGTGTGGCTTAGCTCAACTGTTCTGTACTAAAGCTGCTTGCTGCTGTGAAACTGAAACTCCTCTGCTTGTGTTTTGCATTTGGAAGAGATTTCTTTTCAGGTGGGGAGGGGGAGTAGAACTCCTTAGCATCAGAGCCTAATAAT